ATATAATATAATTATATATGTTTTCATTTATTTATAGACTGTCCTGTGAAGTTCAGACAGTGTTTAGGAAGTTCACTTAACATGTTTAATATTGTGTTTCTTGAAACAAGAAAAATAAGAAATGGTGAAAAGGTAAAGCCACAGATTTGTTTGCTTTATTGTAATCTGTGCTTTAAAGAAATCTTAATTTGTTTATTATAAAACAGATCGATTTATTGCTTCTGTTAGTTGAAAAATAGTTGAGAAGACATAAAAAATCGCATATTAAATCGCAATTTAGATAAAAAAAATCGCAATTAGATTATTTTCCTAAATCGTTCAGGCCTACTTTTAATAAAAATAAATAAATAAAAAGGTTGTGTGCACCAATTTCCTGACTAAAATTATGACATTTAGGGGCCATTCCTGTTTGGAAGTTTGAAATATGACCATGGATACGATATATAGAACTGGATCAGACATGGCCCTGTGGTGCTATTGTGTACTTCAGTGTAAAGAGTGCAACGATTACTATTGACGATTGTGGACATAAGAATGCTGTGTTTATACTGTATTACAGCTTTGTTCCATCATTTTGTGCCTTTACAACACATCCATGCAAGTTTTTCAATATCGTGAATGTGCAATGTTTAGGTTCACACAGCAGTGATATTTAATCGCTTACTGGCCAACACAAATAAAAATTTACCTTTTTTAAAGTAGTGATGTGTAGGGCTGGTTTGATCCATATTTTTGTCATATTTCATATTTTGAACATTGTATATGACACAGTAACTTCCAGTTAGTCTGGCACATTTAACAGTTTAAATAATTTATCAGGTATATTCTGCATATAGATACTTTTTTGGTGGGGGACTAAGGTATAAATAATTATAAATGTGATTTTGGGCTGTTTCTGGTAAAATAAAAATAGTAAATTCCAGTGAAAAAAAGTGTCTTGAATGGGTATATTATATTTTTCATATTATACATATACATTACCTGTCCATTTTTACTCAGCATGACTTGGCATAAACATGAAAGTTTTATAGGGAAATGTTTTAATACCCACATCAGGGGCCTCATGTATCAACGGTGCGTACGCACAAAACCCTTGCGTACGCCATTTTCCACGCAAAACTCCAGATGTATCAAAACTGAAATGAAGGTGGAAATGTGCGCAGCCCCACACCAACTCCAGGGCTGGTTTCACATGTTTCTGTGGTTCTGGTTCCATTGGCGACACTTGGAGGTGATTCTGAGAAACTGTTCATGATGTGAAAATGATTATTGTTCACACCAGACACACATGATTAACAATTATTACATCCACATGATTAACAATTACTACATCCACATGATTGACAATTATTATTACAACCACATAATTAACAATTAGTACATCCACATGATTGACAATTATTATTACATCCACATGATTAACAATTATTCCACTTGATTAACAATTAGTACATCCACATGATTAACGATTATTAAATCCACATGATTAACAATTAGTACATCCACATGATTAACAATTAGTACATCCACATGATTAACAATTAGTACATCCACATGATTAACAATTAGTACATCCACATGATTAACAATTATTCTACATCCACATG